ATCTTGAACTCGCGCCCATCTTTCGAGACAGGTTACAAGAACTCCTCTGAGTGAGTGTCTTTTTGTAATATTCGCACCCACCGGGAATTGTTGCGGACTCTGCACCGCGCTTGCACCCAACGGGATGAATCTCTTTTATTGGACACCCTTGTATTGTAAACCAGTGTAAGCTGTTGTACAATAAACCAACTCTTCACCAAATTTCGTCGTTTGATTCCTGGACGTGGTAAGGGGATACCAACTAGCCGAGCGAATCTCTACCGCCATCACCCCCTCCTACTTCAGCTTTTATAATAATTGGCATTTGCAATAAATTCCTAAAAAAGTAATTACAAAATATACTATGGGTAAATGCCGACAAATACAACCTCAAGTCGAATTAAAATTTTTCCCGTACTAATAAGGTTCATTTTGCTTGGGTCCAGCAGCATGGACACTGGCTTTATTACAGAATTTATTTATTTTTAATAAACGAAGTTAAAGGCACTTGGAAAATCTACATCGTATATTGTACGTGTTCTATTTAGTTCAGTTGATATTAAAAAAATCATTGGTATATGTAAAGTACTTATTGAATACTGCGGTTTTCAGTTTGTGTTTTCTTCTATCGTGAAAATTTTTAGGAATTGTGTTTTCGCGCAATATATTTTTTTTTACATTTTTTCCAAAGTGAGTAATTCACTTTCTCATGTTATGCGGAATACCAAAGCCACTGTTGTTTAATAGAATCGTTTCTGCAAATTTTAACTATGGCTGTTATACAGTTTGCAAAGTCATGAGATGCAGGAATTATAGCTTAAAATGATCTCGCTTTACGTTCATGAAATTAATTTTTCCTTTTTAATTTAATATTGACTCTTGTTCTGTTGCGTGAATACCTCCTGCCTCCGTAGCCGAACGGTTACCACGCCGGACTGCCACGCAGAGGTCTCAGGTTCGATTCCCCGGCCTTGAGAAATATTCGTATGGCCTACATTTATTTCTCTCGTGAGTTTGGGTGTGAATTGTAGTTGTCTATGTGTGTGGCCATGGCACCCGCGACACGGGGTTTCCCTAGTGCGGGGCTATGTTGAGTGTGTGCGTTGTTATTACTATTATTATTACATATAGTAAGTAACAGTACTTCAAGCACTGAATAGCTATGACATAAACTCAGGGCTCATTTACGAATGCCATCAAGCACTCATGGAGGTATGTATACAAAACCACGTAACTCTTCAGTGGATTAAAGGACACAGCGGCTCACGTGGCAATGATGCAGCAGATGAACTAGCCAGGAAAGGGTCGGAGACAGACGCTGTAGGACCAGAACCGATAGTGTCCCTCCCCTGCCAATGGTCCAGAACAACTATACACAAAGGTACAAAATCTTTACATAATAACACATGGACCACCCTTACGGTTTGTAGACAGGCGAGGGAAGCACTCCCAACGCTCAATGCCAGTCTATCTCGAATACTAATTAAACTTAAAAGGCAAGAGCTTCGCACTCTAACTGCCGCCCTAACGGGTCATGGTCCATACAATAAACACCTTTTCAATTTAGGTATCACAGACAGCCCTCTATGCAGAGCGTGCATGGAGGGGGAGGAAACGGCTGCGCACATCCTACTCCAGTGCTCCGGCGTGGCCAACTACAGGGCAAAGTACCTTGGAGTGCCAAGGTCGCTCCCCGAAGTCTTCAGCAAACCAAGGAGGCTGCTGAGATTCCTGGAGGAGCTTGGATGGCACGAGTAGGACCCTGCACCCACCACACGCAAAATAGGCGCTTTGTCGTCGAGTTGCGGAAACCAGCCCGTTGCACCAAGTACCAAGTACTATTATTATTTATTGTTTTTGAAACCTGCATACTGAAAAAGTTTCACAAACATTGTGAAGTCCCCAACGTACCATATGAATGTATTTCTCAATATGTGTAACAAAGATGATGTTATTTATGACTATTTATCTTTGGTCTACTGACCAGAATCAGTTCAGAAAATTTAATTTCTCAAATTGGTCCTACCGGGAATCGAACCTGGGATCACATCATCCAGCAGTGCATACCATTGGGCCACCGAGGACGTCGCAATGGGATATTTATGAGTTGATGGTGATATAATTATTAAAAGTATATAGATGATGATATAATTCAGTAGATTCAATCCAATAGCGTACAGGTCGCAGTAGCAGTAGAGCTCGTTGTGAAAGAATCCGTAATAATGTGAGCATTACTGCGATCTGGTTTTGAAGGGTAAAGGTGCTGGTGAATAACAGACACATGTTACTAACTTGTCAACTTACGTCTCAGGGTGACGGATCAGTGCCCCTTAGATCTTTCCGATTCCGAGGTTTAAACCTCTGGAATTGTTACGGACAGGCGTGTCGCTTACCACCAGGCCTACGTCTGTTGTTCATCCCGTCACTTGATATCATAAAAAATCTAAAGTAAGGTAAATGAGGTCATTTTAAATAATACCACCACCACATACCACTTAAAAATCATAATTATATATAAAGATATTTTTACTTGCCACGTTCGCCGTGTCTCAGGTGTGTCAGTGTAAAATTGGGTGAGCGGTATATACAAACTTATTATAGCCGATAAGAACATTGTGAAAAGTGAAAATCCGAATCAACAACGTACCATAATTCGACTGGCTTTCTGAAACGTTACTAAGTTCGTAAGATCACCGCCGGCAAGTTTAGCTGAATCAGTGTTTTATAGTGATGGGCTTATACTGTTATTAATACCTGTTACTGTTACATACTCCACAAAACAATATTAGGTTCATGTTTAAAGGGATAAATATTACTTTTTGTTATTACCTAAGAATCTCTGTTTGTTGATAGTTTAACTTTTAAAATATTATTTATTAAGGTTCACATTAATGAAAATTCCTTTAAATGGTATTGAGACCTTACAGTAGTTATAATTTTTAGGAAAACCAATACTTAAGACAGTACTATCATTCATTATTATTAGAAAGAACAATATCTTGATGCGATCACAACTCTAATGCTTGGTTTTCATCGACTTATGTTTTAGAATAATGATGGGTGTTTGTGTGTACGTGAGTGAGTGAGTGTATATTGTATGTATGTTAGCCCTTAAGGTATATATTATATGGGTCATGTGACCTGAAATAAATGACTAAGTAAATAAATAAATCATAACATTAATTAAACTTAGGTACCTACATTACTCGCCTACATACGTACCTAGTACCTGCAACTTTAAAGGCGAGTGTTATATTCTATTTAATGTTAGTACAAATACGCGTTAAACATCACTTTGACGATAATTAACACTGCTTTATTTAATCTCGTTCCTAAATACTAGGTTAAGTATCGAGCATGAGACATCTCTACAGAACATCTAACTTCGTACCCGACTAATTTCATTAATCTGCACATTGATTGGATTTGCTGTGCTACTCCTCGCTTTACGTTTTATTCTATTATTATGGCATCGTAAAATTAAGAGGATTATTCTGGTACATTTCGGCCATTTTTCTCGGTATCTTACATTCTTAGAGCGGTTACACACGTTGACTATAAGCAGCGATGCAAACGCGCGATTGCATCATATACTTGGGATTCATAGCGTTTATCGATGCAGTCGCGTACTTGCATCGATGTCATCGCTTATAAATCGCAAGTGTAGTTTCACGAACGCGCGTTTGTATCGCCGCTAAAAGTCACCGTGTGTAACGACTCTTAGAGGCTACATTATGTACATAAATAGGTACTATTCCACTTATCTTGAGACCTCCACCCACCATGACTGTGCTTCTAATGTATCCCCTCGGTTACATCCACGCACAAATAGTCTTTTAACACGAGACTGTTTATTCCAGCTATTTGACCAAGCCTTTTTTTGAAGACGGATGTCAGTATAGTTGAGATATGCCATGGCTGAATTATTAACCACGTCTCCATTTACATTCTCTCAATATAATAATAACATAATAATTTGAAGACTTGGGTGGTCTAATGGTTTACACTAAAGGCGATAGATGCGGAGGTCCCAGATTCGATTCCCGGTAGGATCAATTTTGGAAATGAAGTTTTCTAATTTGGTTTTAGTCTAGGTGTTCTAGGATGTGCCCCAGATTGAATTCCGTTGCTCTGGTACTCATAGTACAGGAAACTCTCTAGTTTGAGACCAGGCAATTGGTGTATTTGTCCAGCATATTATTATTATTTAAAAAATAAATTTGTTTTGTTATCAATAAGAACTAGTACTAATGCATTTAAAATAATAATAAAAGCTATAAAGCACACACTCAACATAGCCCCGCACTAGGGAAACCCTGTGTCGCGGTTGCCACGCGATGGACACACACATAGACAACCACGAATTACACCCAAATTCACGAAAGAAATAAACGCAGGCCATACAAATATTTCTCCCGGGAATCGAACCTGGGAGCTCTGCGTGGCAGTCTGGCGTGGTAACCGTTCGGCCACAGAGGCAGTTGAAAATGTATCAGCAGTCAGTATTATTGACGTTACGATTATTCCATTTTACCAATTTCTATATGCCAAGTTTTTATAGGTTCGTCGAGACTCAATGAACAAATTTATGACGTAAAAGATATTGTCATGTGTACGGCATAGCCTAGAGAGCACTGCCTTTTATCCCTAATTAGTTGAATTGTGTATATCTTGTGTGATATCGAAATAATAGCGTGGGATTGAAAATTCAAAGCCGGCCGGATAAGGTTCTCGTATCATCAGGAGATTTCAAATCAAATCTACAGTCAACAAAACAAAGGTGTTCAACTTTGAACATCATGTATTTAACAACAAAATGCAAGATCGTAACATACATTTAAACTGTCACAAGAAATGGCCTCATCATCACGCAACGAGTGCAACATAGTGAAATAATTCACTACTTAATAGAAAAGAGCTTCGTCGGCAACCAACACACATAGGACACTAAGAAAAACCTATCATTATGTATTAGTCATAAAAATTGTATAAATAGCAATAAGATTTGTAAATATACTCAGTTATCCACTAACATCTGATTTTAACTCATCAAACTCATCATCTTGCTTAGTACTACCCGCTACTCCTCTCACTGTGGCCAAGACATCTTTAGCCATCAGTAGATCGGTCTTGTGAGTCTGCTTGACCGGCAGTGAGAATACCATTCCAGTACACATTGCACGACGTGCACTTCCTTACCTCTTTCCAACCTTCCGTTTTTCATCTAAGGTCTCATGGTGACAGACTTCCCGTTCATATCTTGCATATATATTTCTCCGTTTATATATTTATGGTTACGTTAGGCTACACACCGATAGGTTGTAGGGCTATACTATTAGATAAATTCATTGGAACGACTCTTGAAGTCTCACCGTTAGAGTTAATAGGGTAGTTTATATTTTTATCCTAACTTTGCCATAATTTCATGCACAGAAGGCCGTTGGTATTTGCTGCATACAACACCACACACTACATTGTCAGACAAGCACTACCACCACATTAATACCACACGCTGTTCAAGAGGCCAACATTCAATCTAAATTTAAACTAAAAAAATGATTTTTTTTTTCAATGTGTTCTATATGGCTTGTTTGAATATTATAAACTGAATAGTAAATGGAGCTAGCATTCCAGATGCTGATGACACTTGTGACATGCTCACTGTTTATACACAGAAGGTCATTGAGTTCTTTTTTTCTATAATATCAAGTGACGAGAAGAGCAGTTGCAGTGCCACTCAGAGCTTTATATCACAGATTTGAGAGGCACTGCCACTGCCTATATGCCTGTAATTTCACCAACACCCTTACTCTTGAAAACCAAAACGCTGTAATGCTCACATTACTGCTTGGCCGCAGAAAGTAAGGTGGCAGTACTTCCTTGGGCAAAACTTTCAAAAGGAGCTCAACTGCTACTATATAAAAAAAAGACTCCACCTGCTGCAGACCTTCAGTTCCAGAAACAACCATTAAATATTTCGGGATGCTAGGTATCGTCATTCCTTGTGACGTTTAGTTCCGTAGTCACTTAGATGGCAAAGTCAAGCTGGCTTCCAAACAGCTCGGTTTGCTCCACAGGGCTTAGCGGTATTTCACTTCGGAGCAGAGACGGCTACTTTGTAAGTTCTTAAGTCCGTCCCCATATGGAACACTGCATCCATCTTTGGGCGGGAGCTCCCGGATGCTAGCTTGGACCCTTTGACGCGATTTAACGACGTGCTATGAGAATTGTTGAGGATCCTGTGCTTACAGACAATATTGAACCCCTGTGTTCGAGGAGAGACTTGCCTCCCTGTATCTGTTCTGTCACCTGTACAATGGCCAATGTTCTGAAGAACTGTTTAACATGATGCAAGCAACATTTTATCCCCGCACAGCTCGCCACCGGCAGGGAGCCCATAGTACTGTACGGTTTCAGACGAGCTTCCTCCCATATACAATTAGGTTGTGGAATTAACTCCCTGTCGGGGTTTTCAGGAATACAGCATGGAGTCCTCCAAAAGGGGTTTAAAAAGGGTCCTAACTAACTAAGGGTTGGCAACGCGTAACGCGCCTGGTGTTCCAGGTGTTCATAGGCGACGGTGACTGCTTTCCATCAGGTGGGCCGTATGCTTGTTTGCTGCCTAGATAATATAAAAAAAACTAAAAAGCCTATAAAAAAAATACATGGATCTCTAGTTTGAGAATAGGCAGCCAGTTAAAATATCTTGCACCTATAATTAGATATCCTGTAATCAATAGCTATTACGTTTGGAGTCGATGTCGTGGGATTAATTATCTTTTATTGCTTCTTCCGGGAAATAAAAGAATTTTGATTTGTGTTGTAATTAATACGCTACTTGTTTACAAAGTTATATAAACAAAGAACAACAATCACGTCAATTTAACACAACATATACAAATACATTTGATATTGTCGTAATTATTAAATCAACGGTCTTACGTACAGTATTTATATGTAGATCTTGTGCCCGAGCTTAATTTCTGACGACCATAATAGAACTAGCTTATCTAAATTAGTTCAGCTTTGTGTTCTAGATCGTAGTTTCATTATTTCATTAGGTATTATTGTTTGTTTTTATGATACCAAGTGGCGGGACGAGGTTGTGCGCCTGGTGGTAAGCGAAGCGCCTGTCCACGGGGTAAAGATTTGAGGGGCACTGCTACTGCCCCCGTCACCCTGTCTTCAACATTAACTTGACAAGTCCCGTATGCCTGTGATTTCATCAGCACCCTTACTATTCAAAACCGGAACGCTATAATACTCATTTTACTGCTTTACGGCAGAAATACGTAAGTAGTACTTCCTTGGACGAACTCTTTCACAAGGAGCTTTAACGTACTATATCTATATATAATGTTGTTTGATATCAACGTGACGTAGAGTAAATTTCGTATGAAATCATTATTTCGTCACTGTAGCACGAAAGGAGATAACTTACAATTTTACTAAAACGCGATATCGATAACACGTTTGAAATGAAACTTTGTCTTATGGGATCTAGAATGGCATATATTTTGTTTTTATTTTTAAACAAAGCAATGTTTCGGGCTATCACGGATGATAGTAGCAATACGATGAGCACATGAGGTGAGTGCGTTTAGGCACTTGAGACATTTATATGGGAAATTGCACCGCTTCATCTATTGACCCCGACCAGAACTAAATTCGGTACCAAGAGTCTCTGTTTCGATAGGTAAAAAACCTATCGACACATAATCCGAAATAAATTGTTTTATTTCCAATATTATAAGTTTGATTGAAAATTTTAGTTACAAAGATCGCACACTAAGGGTCGTATTCCAGAACTCTACTCAATACTCAAGCCAGGACTTGAGTATTGCAGTGAGCACTGAAAATCATACTCAAGTCCTTGCCATTAGGGTCGTATTTCCAGTGCTTGAAATCATACTCAAGTCTGCTCAAATCCTGACTTGAGCATTGAGTAGAGTTCTAGAATACGACCCTTAGAGTGGTTACACACGGCAAGTTTTAGCGGCGATGTTTAACGCGAGTTAAAAAGTTAAGTGCACCGCTACACTTGCGATTTATAGGCGATTGCATCGATGTAAATGCGTGCTTGTATCAATCGCCTATAAATCCCAAGTGTAGCGATGCAATCGCGCGTTTGTGTCGATGCAGTCGCCCGCTTGCATCGCGTTTTTGTGCTGCTTGAAGCATCGCCTTTGCTTCTTTCTTAGAAAAAATCCTTCGAGCCGGCTGGTGCTACGCTGTGCCAACTAAGCCACAGAAAGAACCAGCGGACCTTACGAGTTTTGTTGAAGTGCTTGTTGGAGATCTTTGTCTCTGTCATCTTTGCCGTAGCGCGATCTGTGAGAAATCTATTTCTTCACTCCGCCAGGCCATTTACAGCTACCAGCAGCTGGCTAGAGATGTCGCTTTAATAACCGAAAGAATTTTTTCTAAGTGTGCGAGCTTTGTATTAATAATTATAACAAACTAGTGGATTGATGTCACAAAAAAATAATTGAATATCATGGTGGTGAAATATCACGACATTTAATAAACTTAATTTAGATAAGTCTTAAATAATTCCTATAGAATACATATAGAATCAACTGGGAAGTCAAATAGTAATAGTATAAAGCCTCAATATCAAGGCACAAAATTTGACTTCCTTGTTCGCCTCCGATTAACCGCAAACAGCGTCTGAGTCTTCAATTCTAACTAATGGGATCAGATCTGCCGATCCGGCAAATGAATTGATTTCGACCAAATTTCGGATACGCTAAGGCCGTAGTCATACTAGCTGTGTTCAGACTGCAAAATGCTGCTTCCGGTGAAACTTTATGCTTATAAAAGCGTTAATGTTGAAATGTTTTTAGTTTCTTAGTACGTTTACTTTTAGTCTTTGGTAGATTTATTTGGTAGATCTATTTACTGAACTGCACTAAATCATCATCAGAAACTAGGCGTAACATGTACCGTAATGACAATTATGTTACATCGTGTTTACTACATTAATTTGAGAACCTCGGTGGTCTCGGTGACTGTTTACATTGTGAGCGCTGGATGCGGAAGTCTCGGATTCGTTTCCTGATAGATTTGGAAAATGAACTTTTCTAAGTTTGTTCTGGTCTGGATGGTCTAGAAAGTGCCCTAAGGCTGCTAACTGATTGACTGCATGCTTGCAGTTAATGTGTGAAGTCGTAATCAACATGCAGCCGAGACCTCGACTGCATGAAGTTGAAAACGTCTTAACGCATTAACTGCATGAAGTCGGTTTCGACTTTATGCAGTTAATGCGTGAAGTCGGTATCAACTTCATGCAGTCAAGATCTCGGCTGCATGAAGTTGATCTCGACTTCATGAAGTCGAAATCAACTGCAGCCGTTAATGCTAGCAGCCTAAAGTCAATTCCGTTGCTCTGATGCTCATAGCACAGCAAATTCCTTGGCTTGATACCTGGCAATTAATGTATTTTTTTGGCACTAATTATTATATGTTTAATAAAAAAAACAATAACTTAATGGTGAAATTTGCTTATGTGTAAGTAAGTAAGTAAGTAAGTAAGTGACAATAATAACTGAGTAGCAACGAACTGTGAATTCCTAATATCGATAAGCTCTCAAATGGAAAATATATTTATACAAACGTCAAAGACTGTAAGTCAATGACTTTAGGGATTTGTGATTTTAGGGCATCACCATACTTATCGATGTGGAAGTGGCTTGAGTCAATCATGTCGTTCATAGTCGCTCGCTCGCATATGATCGACAATGGCTAATATCCTTGGTTAATATCCTTCATTCGTACCTAATATGTTTCATCTTTGTGACTGTACCTACTTATACGTTCCCTTCGTTATAATTTCTTGGTGCCCGAAGACGATTTTATTGTCAAGTTGGATATCTTCAGGTGCGTTTAGATGACGCGACGCATTTTGGACGTCTGGGTGATTTTCAACGATTTTCACATTGGGTCTTATCTGAAAATCAGTGCAGGGATCGTATTGTTTTCCAATAAATACTAAGTTATTGACCCTTTTGTTACCACACAAAGTAGTTATATTATAACGGTACCACTAAAATCTAAGATGTAGCAATAATTGACATGAATCGTAAAAACTTTAGAATATCGTGTTCTTAGGTTTTCGCGATTGTTACACATAGGAAAT